GACAGGACTGCAGTGCATTTCATCTGTGAAATTCACATTTGCCCTGTGACCCAAGGGCACTCGTGGCAATGTGGCGAAGTGATTAAGGTGTCGAGCTTACACGCTGCATTGACATGGTTCGATTCCCCCTGGGGGTGTTGTTAAGACCTAAACGAGGTCGAAAGTGCAGTCTGCCCAGGATGAGAACGTCTTTTGGGAAGGCAAGGGTATGTGAAATGTAATGGAAATGTCAGCTCTACTCATATCATTGTAGGAAAAATCAACTACCAGTCCTTCATAACCTTAAACGAAATAAGGTGAATACAACTCATATACCTGAAAAAATTAATTAAAAAATTCAAAAGTTTGATATTTGGGACATATAAATAACATCGTCATCAAAATTAATCACTCTACTGAAAAACCGACATATAGGTATAGCCCGGGATCGCGAATAATTCAAGAGATCAACAGTGAGTCTGAAAATAATCTGAATCCAAATAAAAGTGAGACAAATAGCATACAGTAAATGAAATAAGGAAAACCCTCGTGACAAGAGAAAATAGTGAACTAAATTGGGGAGTTCAAATCCTAGATCCTTTACTCAGCAATCATATGCATAAGTCGATTATGAGCGTGCCCAATTCTGAGGCTCCCCATAGCTCTAGGAAATAGCCTAGAGCTTTAAAGGTCAGATGCATGGGTGAAAAAATCAGCAAACAGTTTTAAATATACTGATAAAATATCATGTTAATGAAGCAAATATGATAAACCCACGACAGTATGCAACTTTGGCAGCCGTCCAGCCAGAACAAGTCTTTGCATCCCTCGGCACCAGGTGGAGAAGACAACAAATGATACTGGCAGATTAAGACCGTTACCCCGAGAAGATGTGGCATCCCATTTATCCTTTAGGTAATAAACGAAGAAATGAAAATAAGTGAATCTCATGTTTTATAGAAAAATAATGAAGAGTTTGAGGCATTTAGAAGACTAGTTAGACAGAGGACAAAATAGGATAGGGAGCGGTAGATTTTGGGAACTTTTCTATTATTTCGATCTACTGAGAGTTCATGAACCATCTTCTTGAGGCGCTATGCATTGCAG